GGTGGGGGGTGAATGGGGAAAAAAGGGGACATTTGTAATACTTTCAATAGTAAAGATAATTTTTTTTTAAAAGTTAAAAGTGTATTATGCAAAATCCATAAAACAAATAAGTTTAAAAGATATTTAAATTGTCAAATAATGATTTGTGTAAGCTTGTAGTATTTATAAAGTCCCTAAAGCTGACAACTACAGTAATATAGGACACTTGTATTTCCACTAAGGCTCTCATGAAACCAGTCACCAGTATAGCTGTAAGTTCCTTTTTTGGTTCAAGCATATATCAAATAAAAAATGAATATGTTGTTCTTATCCACAGACCCTTCACTGTCTTTTCTACAGACAGTGAAGGCATAGCCTTGCTTTCCTGTAGTTTGGTTAAAAATCAAAATTCGTGATTCTAGCATGACCATAGGTCAAACCTGATTAAATTTGATATCTAGAATAAGCTCTGGGTTTTTAAAGTCTTACTTGTTTCAGTAGGCAACACACATTGAAGTGGGATGAGTTTCGCAGTGTCAGGTTTCTCACATGTCCTTCAGGAGCAAGTTTCTGTGGCTAATGGCAAATACGTCTGCATTCTCCCCTCCTCTTTCTTTTACATACCCAGTGGCGTGGCATTCACGGTTCGCGCTTTGCTTCCATCTTTAAACAGTGTCGCTGGAAGGTCATTGACTCAGTTTGTGAAGAGCTTCTTTGGGTTCTCTGGCTGGCTGGTGTTGCAGTTATATGTGCACATTGAATTTCCAGAACCAGTGCCATCCTGAAGTGCATTTAGATAATGGCCAGTCTTTTGCTCTTAACAGTATAAGAGAGGTTGCAGTTTGTTATGTTATATACACTTCATTACCCACATGTGCAGAGGCGACTGTCTAATGAAGTCTTAGAGTGGGACTTCTTAGTAAAAGGGATACATGTTTTCCCCTTGCACAGATATTGCCAGATTGCCCCATGGCATTGTACCCGTTGACATGCCCAGCGATGTTTTACCAAAGTCTTTCCCTCACCCATTGCCACAGACACAGGGCTTTACTCAATATTTGGATCAAACATTCCCCCAGGTGAAAATGATTCCTCAATATAGTTATTCACGGGGTTTTAGCACTATGAGAGACCCCACGATTTACTCATGATGTCCAGGGCAGTTGCAACTCATCTGAGGTCGCCAGGTGAGGGTTTTGGTGGCTAGGTGTGTAGAAAAGGAACCCCTTTCATGGACCTCACCCTGTGACTTTCTGCCAAGGACCTTTCTCTACGCTTACCTGGTCCTTGTGCCCAAACACCCGCCAGCACCACTTCACTTGCTGTTTCATGCCAATTTGGAAAATTAGAAACTATGTATTTATAAGTTAATAAAACCAAAAGGGTGAGGGGAGCATCTTTGACTATGCTAAGCTTTGACAGACCCTGTTTTACCACCTTCACAGAGCACTCCTGGTATTCAGGAATTGCTGGATGTTGCTAAACAAGAAATTCCTTTTGACTTCTGGAAGGCCACCCCATTGGTTCTGAAGGCTACAGCTGGTTTACGTCTGTTACCAGGAGAGAAGGCTCAGAATTTACTACAAAAGGTGATCCTATCCATTTCCTTCTGGGGGGTGGCGTACAGTAACTGAAATACTAAATATTCAGCCAGTGTCCGAGCTGTCAGGCAGTCGGGTGCTCCCTGAAGAGGAAAACACTGCATTGTTAATAGTGAACGGTATTTTCTTTCTCATGACATTTAAAGCTATTCGTGTTTTCTAGAGTAGATCTGTTTTTATAATAAGAACAACTTTGTTTTAAAAATTCATTGTGCTTTTGAAGGGCTTCCTGTCATCCAAGGACTTTCTGTGTGTCAGAGGCTGTGGGAACTGAGCTCCTGGCATTTCAGCACAAGCCACTTGTTCTCATGGGAGCTGCTAGTCCTGCTTTCAGTGTAATACTCAGATGTAACTACTGTGGATACCCTTTAGTCTCTTCCTGGCTCTCACATGGCCAGGGTGTGTCCCCAGGCCCTGTACCTCCCCTTCAGAGGGGCTCTGGAACTCATCTTGCAGGGTTGCTTTTCATTGGCCAAGTCAGGGAAACTGTTCTAAGCAGAATGGTCCTCCTGACCCTGTATACTGTTTCTAAACTAGCTACTAAAATGATGAATTGTTGCACATCTGTTAAAGGTCCCTTATAAAAATTACACACTCAAGTAGGATGGTGGGACACAGCTGTAGTTGGTGTGTACAGATGCATTGAAGTTCCTGTGTATCAATATTTGCTAAAAAAAAATGGGTAAGGAAATACCGCAAGTGGAGCTGCTCACTGCCTTTGCCTTCCCTTTGCCAGGTCGTCTCCAAGCAGTGCAGGGGTCCCAAGTCTGAGCTCAGCCTTATAGAGCTTCCTGCCCCTTCATTCCTCATCCTAAAGCAAGGCAGCATTTTGGCGCCCAGCAGTGAGTGCACCCCAGAGCTCTTTCAGTCCAGAGTGCCTTAGCACAGGGCTCTCCAGTGCAGCATCTGCGTCAGCTAGTCCAGGGAATAGATTGACAAGGAAAGTGCTTGCAGAGCATTAGAAAAGCTTAAACCCTGTGCTTTGTTACTTTGCAGCACTAGCTGACACGTCTGGTGTTTTGAGACCACCTGCTGAAAGGATAGCTTGATTGGGAACTATGAGTTTATATTATAGAGTATAATATATGTCTCTCTTTACATTTAGGTGAAAGAAGTGTTTAAGGCATCGCCTTTCCTTGTAGGGGATGACTGTGTTTCCATCATGAACGGAACAGATGAAGGTAGAGTTGCCAGAAGCATTCTGTGCACAGGGGCTATCCTGGTGAGGGGGGCTATGCTCAGAGCTGCTGGGAGCACTCTTAGCTCTCTCCTTATCAGATGCACGGGTGAAGGACCACTCAGTGACCGTCCCATTCCAATGCACAGTTTAACTGTCTCAGAGGGTCTTCTTGGTGCCAGTATTAGATGCTCATCTTGACTAGCACAGATGAAGTTTCTGAAAATAATCATACTTCCAGTTGTAAGAACATTTAAAGAGAATGCCCAATTACTACTATGCTTTGAATGTTGCTGTTGCATTTTTAATCCTAAAACACACTTACTAAGGTTCCTCACCACCCTGATTTTAAATATGATCTTAAGAGTTTGTTTGTTTGGGGGAGGGAAAGGGAATGTTTGGCTCTCTTGCAACCTCTTCTGAAAAGAGGAAGTTGATAAAGAATAGGAGTGAGAGATGTGACATTTGGCAGAGTATTCTATTTCTTAGTATGGTATCTTCTAAAACTGTCTCCCAGAGGCCACTGGGGATGTTATGAAGAATCGTCTCTCTATAGCCGATCTGAAGGCTGGGAGTAGTGAGGAAGTGGTCGGTTTGCACTCCTGAACCTTAAAGGCGTGACCTACATCTTGTATGTTGTTTACAGCACGACTGATTCAAATGCTGTTTCATCACTCTTTCGTAGGTATTTCAGCCTGGATCACCATCAACTTCCTAACAGGTACATTCACTTTATCATGAAAGCAAACAGTTCAGACCCTATTCTTGAGAGCAAGGGCCTCATTTCTATTCTTTAAAATATGCCCTCAGGATATCTCAGTGTGCTGGCCCAAAGTAGGTTGTTGGAATGGGTGAGGGTGTCCGCCTGGCTTGTCAGGGCAAGCATTGAGTTCACAGATATAAGGGAAGGGGCGCTTCTCTGCAGTCCTGGGGTGGATCCACCAGCACAGCTCCACCCTTATCCTGCAGCAGCATCCACCAGGGGCCCTGTCCTCTCATTTCCGAGAGAAGTCAGAAATAAAACTAGTCACTTCGAATATTAAATATGATGTGATTGCTAATCACCTTATAACTGAACTCCTCTATAGTAGGTAGAACAAGGGGCAGAAACATCTGTTTTTAGAAACAGGCAGCAAGGAGTTACTTTTCTTATATTAACTCAGTGCCTGTGGATTTTTGTTTGTTTAATGTAATGATGGACAAGACCAGTGTGGCTGACACATATATAAAAAAGAAATTTCCTGGGCCCTGGGGAATGGAGAACCATGTTAGGGCCCTGGGGAATGGAGAACCATGTTAAGTGACAGATCAGGAGATAGCCTCAAGAGCTGAGGTGGGGGAAGGCATGCCTGGGGCATGTAGGAATATCAGAGAAGTCAGCGTGTCTGAGCAGTGAGCAGTAGATATGGCAGGCCCAGCATCTCCGCCACAGGTCTGTGCTGTCCTCCCGTTGTTCAAATTAAAGCCACAGCCAGTGGAGCTGTTGTTCATGTCTCTATTTAAACACACAGTGCATCTTTATGTGGAGAGTTTCAAATAGCTGCAGCTACTTCTCAATCTTGTTTTTGTTTCCACTGAAGGGCCTGGCTTCTAACCTCTCCTTACTTTGTCTACTGTACTAATCTGTTTACTAACCTGACAGTGCTGGGCTGGTTTTTACTCCCTGTGCTCCAGGCAGTTTGAAATCCTCAGGAAGCAACAGTGTGGGCATGCTGGATTTGGGCGGAGGGTCCACTCAGATCACCTTCCTTCCAAGAGTTGAGGTAACCAGCCCCTGCTGGGGCCCCACCCCCGAGGCTACCTCCTGTGGGGCGGCCGTAGACCTGGTGGCTCTGGGCCCATGCCCTCAGTTCCTCTCCTGAGGGCCAGATCCATTCAGTTAATGCTGCTTAGTTTGATTTTAACTCTGCCTGGGGGAAAAAAGAAATTTGGTCTTCAGTGGGGTGATAAAGTAGATACTACCCGGAGCCCTTTGGGCGAGAGAATGTGAAGTGGGCCCTCTCCTTCCCTCCCTGGCAGCACCCTCCTCGTCCACCATTTGTTGTAATTATTTTTAGTTTTCAGCAGAAGAGCACTTATGAAATTTACTCACAGTTGTCTTGGTTGGGCCATAGTTGTCAGAACAGGTAAATGTTATTCATGAGAAGGAAAACGTAGTTTTTCATTTTGGATGTTTTATTTTTCATTCTTGCTCCAATGAAAAGCTTTAGTTTAGTTTAATAAAATGCTATTTTAATTTAATACATCTGTGAATGTCCTTGTTCTTTGAAATGAGTTAGGGAGTTGGGGACCGTTTTCTAGAACGGCCAGCAGGAAAGGGAGTAACCCTCATGTTCTTCCCCAGGACACCCTTCAGACCTCCCCGCCCGGCTACCTGACATCACTGCAGATTTTTAATAGGACCTACAAGCTCTATTCCTACAGGTTTGTCTTCGGGAGTGAGGGTGGAGAGGTTGACCATCCAGTCACATAGCTCAGCTAGCGCTGCTCGGCCTCCCCCTGGCCTCCTGCTGCCCATGGTGGTCTCAGACACGCTAGGCCCCGGGCACCCCCTTCTGTGGAGCCTCTTTTTCCTCCTCCCTGGGGCTCATCCTACTACTGCTCTCCCTCCATTTTTCAGTTTTCCTACATAAAGTAACATTTCTTCTTTTGTTCTCATTCTGTTCTTCTTTGGAGGAAGTTTTTGAAGAAGTGGGGAAAAGCCCATGGATTGTGTGGGAATTTCCTGGACCATCTGTTTGCCACATGGCACCTTCAGTAGATTCTTTCTTTAAAGCACACATGCACCATAAGAGATCAGGGTTGTCTGTTGCATTCACCAGTGTCCACAGCTCCGAAACAAGCTCCTGTTAAGTAATAGGCCTTCATTTGTTGAATCATTAGCTGAATGCTCTGAACTCCACAAAGGGAGACTCCTAGAAGCAGAAAAGCCTGCTGCTTTGCCAGAGTTTCCTCCGTTTCCCACTTGCTTTGGATCCAGGCCAGGTGAATGTATTGGAATCAGAGTTGAGGATGGCAGGCCAGCCCCTCACCCAGGATTTTCTTTCCACAGCTACCTGGGGCTCGGATTGATGTCCGCCCGGCTGGCGATTCTGGGCGGTACAGAGGGGAAACCTGGTGAGTGGAACGCAGTGTGAGAGCCCTGCTTGCTCAGCAGGCACAAGGAGTCCTTCGGGAGAGGTGCCCCTTCTCCCCATGTCTCCACTGTCACAGCAACTCGCTGACCCTGCCCTGCCTTCCTGGTCTGCCCTCCCTGCCAGTAGGACTTGGGGAGCCCAGAAGGGACCTGTGTGGAGGATGTGCCCCAGACCTTGTCAGTGGCACTCAGATGGGGACACAGGCTAATGTGTTTTACCTGTGTACATTCCAAGTTATTTTTTAAAAGAAAGAAATACTAGTAAAGTTATCTCTAAAATACTGAGCTGGGGGATTTTAGGATCCCAAATAACAGTCGTCACTTATATTTGGAGGCTGCTTGTTTTAAGGATTTGAGGGGAGAACCTTACTCTTCAAGACAGTATGGGAGGGGCCACAAGGAGGTGTGATTCAGGTGTTGCCATGGGACTGGGGAACTTGCTCTGTCATTCACAGTGATTCTAGCCTTGAGCATTTCCCTCTGTCTTCTCTTCCTTCGTCATAAAACATGGGCTTGGCTCTTCCCCCAGACCTGGTGTTGGACTAGAGATGAAGTGGGTGTCTGGTCAAGTTATTAAAGTCACAATTACTCCCAGCTTTCCTGCACCCTCCTGATGGGTCTGGTTGAGGAGAAGCCTGTCATTGGCCAGCAGTGCACTTGAATTCTTAGAGAGGATCTTAGGGGTCACTGTGCCCCAACTTGGGAATGGGAGGACACGGCTCTGAGGCTGGCAGCTCCCTGGCTATCCTGATGACATCGGCTAGAGCCCCCAAGGCCTGACTCATGCCTCTCGTAGGCTTGTGCGTGCGAGCCCAGTTGTGTTCTCCAGCCATACCCCCTTACCTTGGCCCTGCCTCTTTGTGCCCCTCTCTCTTGCCCAAGCCCAGCCGAGCATTTCTACCCACTTCGTTCAAGGGCCTAGTTGTTCTGATACAATGGGAATGTTGAACTGAAAATTGTTCTTTTGGTACATCCAATTTTCCTTCATTTCTTTCAAGTTCTGATGTTTAACCTCATAATGATATCCCCTTTATTGCAAACCAAAAATATGTCCACATCTCAGAAACACCTGTTACCTTCACTCTGGGGCCAGAAAACACTATTTAGCCAATGAGAAGGTAAGCACCAGTTTGCCCATCCACGGCTGGCATCAGTCCCATCAGCTCCTTCACCCTCCTCTTGGTAGAGCAGCTGGGAGACCACTAGTCTTGACAGGCCGCACAAGTACCTGACTAGGACATGTCAGGGCCGTAACACCCACCAAGAGGGGTGTACTTCACAGATCACCCACCAAACAGTGGTTGCAAACCGAAGTAATTTTGTTATTGTATCTCATGATTTCATAGGCTTCAGCTGGGTAACACCTCTACTGGAGTCCCTGGAGTCCCATGTGGTGGTATTTAGGATGGTATTTAGGTGGTACTTAGGGTGGTATTTAGGTATTTTAGGTGGTATTTAGGAAAGAAGACTGCCTGAGTCATAGGACGTTGTGTCCTGCACCTTCTGTTGGTGAAAGCAGGTCCAGGCCAAAATCCAGGGCAGGGACAGGGACCCACTTCTCTGTGGGAGTCCAGCATGCGCATCCTCAAGGGGTGGCATTGTGGGGCCAGCCTTGGAAGCCAACCACCACATTTCCCTTGCTAATTATGGGGCCTCAGCTTTTGTGGAGCAGCACAGACTGGTTTGGTAGCACCTGGTAGCATCATCCTGGCCCTGCGTCAGTCATCTATAAAATTGGGTAACAACTGCTCCCCTTCTCTTAGGGTCCTTGTGACAGACAATTCACTGAACAGCAGCAAGCCTGTTGCCTGGGACCCTGAAGCCCCTCGGTGAATGAGCTGCACGTGGCCATGTCTCCAGGGCAGAGAGGCTGCTGCAGCCTCTCTGATAGAGGCTTTGCCTCCCGCGGCTGACCTGGAGCACTTCCATGAGTCAGGTCTCACCTGTAGCCCTCCGTGCCTTTAGTGCGAGCCTAAAATATTCTCTGTCCTGTAGGCCTCCCTTCAGTGGAGTCACGTCTCTCAGCTCCGTGTAATGCCCTAGTCTTACAGTGACAATGTGCTTTTCTTTTTTATCTTTTTATTTCAGTGGAGAATGGGGAGGAGCTGGCCAGCCCCTGTTTGTCGCCCAGTTTCAGAGGAGAGTGGGAACATGCTGAAATAACGTACAGACTTTCAGGGCAGAAGGCAGGTACTGCGGCTTTACCCTTCACTGGTGGCTTGTAAGGGTTCGCAGCGGCAGCCTGTCCCTTCCAGTGACCTCTGAGAAGCAGGGAGACTCACCGGACCTCCCTCACAGACAAGCTTGCACTTGTCCTTGAAGTGGACACACTCTTTGAGCCTCAACAGGACTCAGGGAGGCCCTGGCCAGCCCACTGGGATCCTCCAGCTCCCGCGAGGTCTCTGCCCAAGGCTTCCTTGCTGTTGCTAAATGCTTTCTTCCAACAGGCCAGATTTCCCAACAAGCCCCAGTGAGAAAGGACCTGAACATCCCAAGACTCTAAGAGAGTCAGCAAGCCCATTTCTGAACACAGGGAGAAATGGCTTCTCCTTTCCTCCATCAGGATGGGCGGCTGCTCCGGGCTGCAGAGTCCCCTGAAGCCCTGTGACAGGATCTCACCAGCCTGGCCCCTCTACCCCCACATGGTCTTTTTGCCTTGTGCACTGTTAGCATCATCTAAAAGAAACACTGAAATATTGTTCCCAGGCTGAGGTTTGTCTGCCTTTGGTGACAGTTGTTTCTATTCTTCTGACACCAAATGTGTGGGTTTTCTACACCAATCAGTTCTCCAAACAGTTGATTAGCTCATTGGCCGTTGGTGATTAATTCAGTTTCTCGTCCCTCAGCCCTCTCCGGATGTTGGGGTTGGGGTGTTCCAACCCTCCTATCATGACTGCCTCTGACAGTCATCCCCCACCCTGTAGCCATCTGGGGACCCACCAAGGGTCGCCTGATTAGCATAAACTTAGGTCTGCTTGAAGGGGGCTTATTATGAATAGCAGAAGATGCCCCTCTTCACCCCCATCACTCAGGATCTTACAAGGGATGTAGGAGGTCTGTATCAGAAACCAGGAACAAAGACCAAATATATTTCTTATCATCCAGTGACCATGCAGGTCAGAGTGACTCAGCCACTTGTGCACATGCCATTTGTTAGGCCCTGCTGTAGCTGCTGGGCACACAACAGCCGTGTACAGTGCAGACAAAACCTGTGCCTAGGCGGAGTGGGGAGGGAGTCAAATAGCAAAACACATGAGAAAGTGCTTTGAAGAAAAATAAGAGGAGAGGGGTGCCGAAGGAGAGATTGCAGTTTTAGATAAGACAACCAGGGAATATTTGAGAGCAGATTTGAAGAGATTGGGAGTGAGCCTCACAGATCTCAAGCCAAGGGAGAAGCATGTGCAGAGGCCCTGGGGCAGCTGCTGTATTTAAGGAACAGGGAGGAGGTAGTGTGGCTGGTCAGGTCTGAAGGGCAGGGGGTGGGTCTGTGAGCCTCGGGGAGAAATGAAGGAGCTTCCCTTGGATGGTGGAACAGATTTGGGAAGGGAAGATGGGAAATTGGTCCAGGCATGGGCTGTAGGACATTTAATTCCTTAACTCTGGGGCCTGTGTTCTCTTTCCAAGTAAGGAGTTAATCGCCAGCCCTGTGAGCTTGCCAAGCTGCCTATTAGGCCCCAGTTTCCTCTTGTTTGACATAAGGAGAGTGCAGGCTTCACCCCCAAGGCGGTGATGAGACAGAGTAAGATGCTGCATGTTCAGAACTCAGCACAGGCTGATAGAGGACGAATGTAGGGTAAACAATGCAAACTTGAGCCTATTGGGCTGTGTGAAGATGGCTACATGGGGCCCAGCTAGAGGCTGGTGTCTTTCAGTGTCAGGGGCCATGCTCTCCAGCCACCTTCATTCTCAGGGTTTCTCCCTTGATCAGTGCTGTGGCTCCTGAGAGGTGCTGTTGACGTGTATGGTGCTAGTGATCACCCTGCTTGGGGTGGGGTCTCAGCAGGCTTCTGTTCCCACCTCACCCTCCTGGTCAGGGTCTCAAGTCACTGGGAAAGGGCCTCAGGGACTGTGACTTGGGTACTCAGAGCCCACTGACTCCTGGCCCTGCTTTTGCTTTGCCCAGCAGCGAACCTCTACCAGCTGTGTGCCAACCGAGTGTCAGAAGTTCTTCAAAATAAAGTACACAGAACAGAAGAAGTGAAGGATGTGGATTTTTATGCTTTTTCCTACTATTATGACCTTGCAGCGAATGTTGGCCTCATAGGTAAGGGTGGGCTGGGCCAGGAACTCGGATGTGGGCCCCTGGGCAGGACTCTGTCAGAGAGTAGCTGTGCTGTCAATCACCCCAGGGTAAGAGAAGTGGACTGACTCAGGAAGGTAGGTGTCTTGTCATCAAATAAGAGGTAATAAGCCCCTTTTAAATAAACAAATCAGTTCTTTGAGCCAATCACTTGCTGTTGATTTAGTCTTCTGCTCTGAGGCAGGACTAACTCACCTGTGTAACTCAGACCCACACCCTCCTGCCTTGGTTTCTGAGTCTCTGGCTGATGGAGCCATTTGTGAGAGCAGCCATCTGTCCCCAGCTGGCACCTGGGCTGGGGTGGGGAGAGGTCAGTGATTCCACTGGTCACCCTCAGGAACTTTTAGTGTCTCTGACTACTCCACACCCCAGAGTGCAGTCAGGACAGGAGGTGACATTTGGAGTTTGCCAAGGCTGGTGAGACTGAGGGTGGAAACTCATGGGGGTTTGAAGTCACTTCATTGGGTAGTGAGCAGAAATTTTGTTAATGAAATAATTGAGAAATTCAGGATGCATTGCCTGTGATAAAGATAAGAGCATTAATGTAAATTAAAAGCTTCCCAGAAGAAACCGATGATGTCAGGTTCTGGCTCCCAGGGTCCTGAGACCTCCACCCGTGTCTCCACACTCACTAAGCTGCCTACTGTCAGCCCCCGTGTGGAAGGCAGCCAATTGGGGGGTGGGGTGATTCTCTCTCTCACCCTTCTCTCAGACCCAGGTCCTTCTCTCTGGCATAGAACGGTGGTCCCTGGGCTGCCCTCTACAGCCAACCCTGTGGCTGCTGGGCCTTTGGGGACCCTGCGGGCTCCATGTAGCTGGAGCAAGAGCACACCAATGCGCACTTCCTAACCGCTGCCAGCTGGGGACGATGCAATGCCTAGGGTCCACCACAGCCCTGGCAACCTGCTAGGGGCGCCTCCCCAGCATCCCCCTGTCAAGCTGGGACCCTTCACCCTGACCAAAGGCTGTCCTTTTCCTAGGGTTCCGACACCTTCCCAGGTGACCTCAGGAGTTGCTGGGTGTTCAGGAAAGCTCTTCTCATTCTTATGGCCACATGTGGTTCTGAGAGAACCCCTTGGGATCCACCCTTAATGATATTTGCTGACTTAGCAAACATCCAAGAAGTCAGGAGATTTCCTTTCAACACATTGAGTAGCAGCCTCATACCAGACATCAATGTGCGGGACACCTGGGGACCCTGTATTTAACATGGAGGTTTTGCAGGGCATTGAATAAACCAGTTGCTGTCCTTGAGAGTTTGGGGACATAACCCCTCATGCCTCTTCCCGGGAATGGTACAGAGGCCTGGGGCTGTACCCTCCTGGAAAGCCCCATAGAGGCTCTGCGTATTTGTTCTAAGACCTAACAACCTGCTCCTCACTTTTTTTTTTTTTTACATAATTTTTTTTCCACACTCAGGAAATATGCCAGAGTACCATTGCTGAGCTCAGGGCCATAGCTTTGGGAAACATTCCAGTTTACTTTTCTTAACTTAAAATTAAAGTTAAAAATTGGGGTCCTGGGATCCTGGTGAGCTTCCTCTGGCAGCCACTGTAAGATCCCTGTGTGCTGGCCACCCCCATGTGGTCCTGTGTGAAACACTTGCCCACTGGCCAAGCTGCGTCAGGCACCTCAGAAACCATGGAGCTGCCCTGCTCACAGCCAGGCTGGCAGTCAGCTCTTAAGCACAGCCCTGCGCCTGCCCTCTGGGTTCCCCAGGTGACAGCCTCGGGGCCTCAGTGGCATCGAGATTCCTGTAGTGCTGGTACAAACTGGACACTTGGTCTTATCCTACAGATGCGGAGAAGGGAGGCAGCCTAGTTGTCGGAGACTTTGAGATTGCAGCCAAGTATGGTGAGTGCCTACTGCAGTTCCCCAGGTGAGAAGGGCTGGAGCTTGAGGCAGGGACACTGTCCCAGCCATGACAGATATGCTGCAATGCTTGTGACACAAGCAGTGCCACCAGAATTCCTGGATTTGGTTCTTGATTCTGTCTGCCAGATGAGTGTTCAGAGGTGTGAGAGTATAGAGTTGAGAGTATACTTGGGGTCACCATGCTGGGCTCAGACCAACGATTCACCACATCCCGTCCTGTGTGGCCACAGGTGGTAGGGAAGGGGGCCATAAAAAGCCCTTATTGTGAGGAATGAACTCCCTTGATTTTACTTTTCCTGATGCCTTCCAGTGATTCAGGTAAACCCTAAGAGTGATTTCCCCTGAGAGTGTCCCAGTAAATTAAAAATTGTCACCAGGACCTGAAGAAGCCAAGGACCCCAGAACAGCAGAGCTTGGCACATGAGGGGTGAAGAGCTTTTGCTCTGGGGTATCAGGTGGCTGGCCCTGCAGCCCTGAGCCACCCCTCTCTCTTCATCATCTCTCTCACCCCAGCCGAACAGGGTATGAAGTGAAGGCTTGCTGTAGATTTTCTGCTCTTTGGTTGCCATTCCCAATTGCATGTCGAAAGAGTTGATCTTTGTATGTTTCTCCATAGAAAGTCCTTCTTCCTCACCCCCCAAATGGCTTCTAAGCTTTCTTGTCACTTCTGGGTTTGTCTTGTGGACACTGGGTGTCCATGACTTCAATAGGAAAAGGTACCTGGCAGAATTCCGGGGCAGCTGTTGGCAGGTTTGTCCATCACCCTTGAGAATAGAGGAGATTGTTCTGAGCCAGCTTTGTTGGTGTTTTCATTCCTCAGAAAGCCAGGTATGCATCTAGGAGAGTGTCCAGTGTCATGGGTGCAGAGATGTGGCCTTCACCCATGACACAGACAGGAGGTCCAGCCTCATGGAGATTGGCTGCCTCAAGGCCCTGCTTTTTGGTGTGTTCCTGGCGAGTCACTGTCCTGCTCTGAGCTGTAGGCTTGTTTAGATCAGCAGTGAGGACCTGGGGCCAGCACAGAGCCTGGTGCAGAGTGGATACCTGGAGTGGGTGGGGTTAGGTCTGCGCACACCTACCTGCACCCCCAGGTAGTGAACCACCAGGAACCTGACTGGGAACCGGCTTTCTCATCCCCAGTGTGCCGGACGGCGGAGACCCAACCACAGAGCAACCCCTTCATGTGCATGGATCTCACCTACATCAGCTTGCTGCTCCAAGAGTTTGGCTTCCCGGGAAACAAAGTGCTGAAGGTAAGGACTCACCTCTGGGTGCCCCTGTGCCCTTCATGGCCTGAGGGGCCAGAACACTGCCTCCTGCCTCCTACCCAGGCCATCATTTCACCTGTGTGCATGGTCCCCTCTGCCCCTCCCTTTGTCTTCTCCAGCTGACTCGGAAAATCAACAATGTTGAGACCAGCTGGGCTCTGGGGGCCATATTTCATTACATCGACTCCCTGAATGGACAGAAAAGGACGGCCTCATAGCAGCTGAGCTGCCCACTGTCCTCCAAGTAGTGGCTCCATCTCTGCAGGAAAAGATCCTTTGGAAACGCTTGATGTGTTGGAAGGGGGCCAAGCTCAGCTGAGACCCCTCCTCCCTGCAGCCTTGCGGACCCGCCCCTGGAAGGGCAGAGGACTGGAACTCAGCCCAAGCCCAACACCTCCTCCTACCTGCCTCAGCTCCAGGTGGTCAGTGAACCAGCTAGGGAAAGGGCACATGCCAAGGCCAGGATGATGTAGTCCCACTGTCCCCACTGACCCATCTGTAGGGTTGGAAAGCTGTGACATTCATCCCTATTACTGGAGTCTTGTTTTGTGCCCCTGCCCCTGTCTCCCTCAGTTTCCCAAGGCAGACCTCCACCTCTCCCTGAATTTGCGAGGAGGCTCTGCAGGCTGTCCTGGCTGCTCTCAGGGCGAGCTTCGCAGGAACCATCGTGAACCTCTGGGACAGTGGGTTGGGTGGGGCGCTGTGAACTCTGGACTTGAATATGTTTGTTCCTCCTTGAGTGTGGGTACGTGAAGTCATACAGAGGCCTGTTTCCTCAGTCTTTGGGTGGCTCAGGGTTAACCATGGAGTTGACACTATGAATAGGAGGAGGGGCTGAGGGAAATACCTCTCCATGGCCCTCAAAAAAGGCTGAGTGTGAGCATGAGCTGCTGTAAAATATTTATGGTTGTGCTGTGTGAGTGGTGTCTCTGTCGCTCAGCACTCAGTGCTTGTGTGGCCACTGCGTTCTGAGCCCCAGTGAATACTTCACTGCTGTGAACCGTGTGCAGTCAGGCAGTGTCAGGAGACACGTGCTCCCTGGTCAGCCAGCAGAGCAGTCTCCAGAACTGCCCTCTTGAAACTGCCCTCATGTGGCTTTTCCCCCTCGAGCTCCACAGGACACTGATTCAGCCCTCCATGTCTGCATTGCGAGCTCTATCAAGGGATGATACGGGCTGTGTGCTGCACACAGTGTGGTCGCAGGTTCACAGTCATTTTCTGGTGAATGTACAGTACACAGGGTAAGCCGAACCTCGTGTGTTCCACTCAAAATAAAGGTTTACCAGTTACCAAAGTTACTGCTCCTCTGTGACTCTTGTCAGATCAGTGACATTCATCCACCCAACACTGGCAGGAAGGACCTGAAATCCCTGTTTACTAAAGTTTAAACAAAATACTGCCCAAGTGGGGTAAGAGGTGGTGGCACAATTAAGTGCTGTCAGTATATCTTGTGAGGAGACCACAGCAGGACACACAGAGGCCCCCACTGGGCCCTCCTGGCATCCCCATCTCCCTGGGGAGGCCCAGGCTGTTTTAGGGTCTGGCAGGGAGCCCCTCACCTTCCTGGGGTCTGTCAGAGCAGAACTCCCCATCTCTGGGACTGTTACCTGCAGCATGTGCCTGGTAAGTCTAGTCTCGAGTGAGTACTGAACTCCAGGTTGTAGTGTGTTCAGTGAGGACCTGGATTTAATGTGGGTCAGTTGGAAAGGAGTCAAATGTCAGGCAAAGATGGGGCAGACTCCTCACCCTGATTGCTAGGAGCTCACAGTCTCTACACCTCTCGGGACCTGATGGAAGGAAGCACAGGGTCTGGCCTCCGCCCTTTCCAAGGCTGCAGCAGGACCAGAGCAGGCATGACTGCTGAATAATCCCACGTGGTAGAGGCCTCTGGAGAGAGAAGAGGCCTCTGCAGAAAAATATAATGATAATTTTGCTCCTCACCTCTCAGAACCTTAAATTCCCAGTGCGCAGAGACAGGAGAGGTATCCAAATGTAAGCCTTGGCTGCCTGAGGAGCACTGTGCCTGCAGGACACTTGGGTAGCGAGGCTTCCACCCTTTTCTGAGATTCCTCACCTGGTCTGAATGGGATGATCATTGCACCCCAACTCCAGAAGGCTGGAGGGGGACCACCAGGACACAAACCACTGACAAAAAGAGCCTGCTCTCCTCTACCCAGTGGTTTCCCCAGAATGTAACCCCTGGGGCAAAGGTCTGGAGCTCTGTGTGGGACACAAATAGAAGACAAAGCAGAAGAGAGGCTTCCATCAAGTGAGAAGCCACATTCGGACTGAATCTTTGGAGGCTTTCACTTGACAAGGACACGGAAATGACTTCTCCCTGCTCCTCACCACCGCTGCCTTGGGAGCATCTCCGTAGCCCCTTCCTTCCACAGTAGCTAACAATTTGAATTGAAGAACTATAGAGGCAAGGAATTCAAGATACATGAAGGTAAAGTGAAAATTGACTTGGTCCATTTATAGGTTAGTGATCTCACATCTGAAAAAATGTGAACAACGAACTTTCCCAAAGGATTGCCAAATAAGTCATGGAATATTTTTGAGTGCAGCAAAATAGGCAAATAATGTCACTCTGTCTTTTGTGTTTATAAAGTAGTTCTTGTTTTTAAGAATAACTACATATGCACATCTTAACACGTAAAAGATGCAAATTGGGGATACGGTGAGGGTATTGTTCCGTCCCACGTGTCCCACCTTGCAGAGGACGTGTCTGTGTGCTCTGAGCTTCCTTGCACACCCCACACACTATCTTCGGTCCATGTGTCCCAAACCTTTCTGTTCCCACTTAGAGCACCCACCCCTGTCAGTGCGCAGTGAGCTGCCTCATCCTGCAGTGGCTGGTGGCATTCCCGTGTCCGGACGACAGGATCGCATAGCATCGTTGTTGCTTCCAGCACTACATCCATGTGCATGGGCCATCCTCACTGCTGGATCAAAGGGTAGGACATTTGTTTTGTCTTAGGGAGCTTCTTAGAAGCATATTTTAATAAGGAATTTAAAAATCTATGTTAAACCGCAGCTTAAATTGAGTGATGATGGAGAGGAGTAGATCAATGGAAAATAATGGAATTAAAATGATTTTTACCCCTAAAATGAAATATAGGCTCTCTGATAGCATAGTTCAGCATCCTCTCTATTTTCATAGGGGTGTATCATTAAGTACCTTGAGGAAATAGAAAAAGTGCCAACGAGCTCTATATCCTAGGTGCAGTCGCTGAGGCATCCCCCTGGGAGACTTGTCTTGACTCCCGGGGTCAGATTCTGAGAAGTTGTGGGGAGTTGGGGGTCTATTTTTTCCGCCCTAATGAAGAGTAGGATGGGAGTCTCAAGAATGAGAGAAAGTCAAAATAGCAGCCTTGCTTATCCAAAGAGCCACTGCTGTTCTACGCAAACGGAGGTAATGAAAAACCTGTGAAGACAGGAGCCCTTTTGAAAGTAGAGTCTTTTTAAAAGCTACACTTTTTCCAGAACATTTTGAGACTGCTAGAAGAGTTTAGGGGACTTGCTTGAAACACTCCCAAGTTCTTACCTGCTGTTCTTACCCCAATCACAGAACAGACTTTTTTGAGGTATAATTGACATGTAACATTATTTCACATGTACAACCGAATGATTCGTATATATTGCAAACTATCACCGCAATAAGTCTACCTAACATTGGTCCCCATACATAAATTTTTTTTCTTGTGATGAGGACTTTTAAGATCTGCTCTCCTAGCACCTTTCAAATATGCAATACAGTAGAGAGAGAGAAACATAGATGTGAGAGAGAAACATCAATCGGTTGCCTCCCATATGCAACCTGACGGGATCAAACCTTCAGTCTTTTGGTGTACAGGATGACGCTCCACCCAACTGAGCCACCCGGCCAGGGCTATGAGCTCTTTATATATTTTGAATATTAACCCCTAATCAGATACATGGTTTGCAAATATTTTCTCCCTTTGGTATGCTTGCCTTTTCATTTTTTTGATGACTTCCTTTGCTATGCAGGACAGGAATGTTTTAAATTGTGTCCATATTGCCCGATTTCCCTACAACTCCACTGGCAGCCTTGATGACGGCTTCCCCAAACCTTCACCAACACACTACAACCAGTTTGCTCTACCATTCTGGCAGATAAAAAATGATAACCGGTAGTTTCACTATGTACTTATCTAATGCATCTTGTGTCTATGTCCAAGAATATTCCCTTTTCTGTGAAACATCTATTTGTGTCCCTTGCCATTTTTTCAATGAGATTGTGGTCATTTTCTTACTGACTTTAGGAGATTTTTATATATTAAGCAAATTAGCCATGTGATAAAATGTGTTGTACATATTTTCCCCATTTTATTATTTTTTACTTTATGGTGCTTTTTCAATGCACAGTTTTACTATTTTTATCTGTTTAAATTTCTAATTTATGGCATTTTTATACAAAGTTATCTTATATGATGACTTCTGGGTTTTGTGTCATAATTTGACACAAAATAAGACTTCCCTATTAAGATAGTTTTAAAAAGTTAACAAAATGATTTTGGTGCTTTTTTTTTTTAATGGTTTTAATTTTTACTTTACTTTAGTGACATAGAAGCATGGAACAGACTGAGGAATCTCAGAGGGAAGGCAGGGGCCGGT